TATCCAAGAACTATGGGACAACTATGAAAGGTGTACCATATGCATATTAGCTATACCAGGAGGAGAAGAAAAAGAGGAACAGAGGAAATACTGAAACAAGAATGACTGAGAATTTCCCCCAAAATAGTATCAGACATCAAACCACAGATCCAGCAAGCTCAGAGAACACCAAGCAGGATAAATGCAAAAAACAACAAAACAAAACAAAAAACCCTAGGAATATTATTTTCAAACCATAGAAAATCAAAGATAGAGAAGAAGTTCTTAAAAAAAAAAAAAGCCAGGGGGAAAATACCTGGCCTATACAGGAACAACGATAAGACTTAACCATACCCAGCTTCTCCTCAGAAACTACATAAGCAAGAAGAAAGTAGAGTGAAATCTTTAAAGTATAGAGAGAAAAAAACTCATCTACCTAGAATTCTGTACCCTGCAAAGATAACCTTCAAAAGTGAAAGAGAAATACAAAATTGAGGGAATTTGTTACCAGTAGACCTGCCTTGCAAGAAATATTAAAATGGCTTATTTAGAGGGAAGAAAATATGTCAAAAACTTGGATCTATATAAACAAGAGGAGAACATTGGAGAAGAAGTAAATGAAGGTAAAATAAAAACTTATTTTTCTTATTCTTAATTGATCTAACAGATAACGGTTTGTTCAAATAGGAGCAACAACAATGTATTCGATCAAATATGCTTATATGCATACTATACATTTGTATGCTTATATGTAAGTAAATGAATGACAGAAATGATACAAGAGATGGGAGAGAGGAATTAGGATTTTTAAATTATTATAAGGTACTTGCACTACCTGTAAAGCAGAGGAGTGTTTTTGAAAGTGGACTTGGATTAGGTATAAATGTACTTTGTAAACTCTATGGCAACCACTTTAAAAAGTAAAAAAATAGGGGCACCTGGGTGGCTCAGTCGTTAAGCGTCTGCCTTCAGCTCAGGTCATGATCCCAGGGTCCTGGGATCGAGCCCCACATCAGGCTCCCTGCGCTGCAGGAAGCCTGCTTCTCCCTCTCCCACTCCCCCTGCTTGTGTTTCTTCTCTCGCTATCTCTCTCTGTCAAATAAATAAATCTTTAAAAAAAAAAAAAGTAAAAAAATAAGTACAACTGATAGGCTAAGAAAAGAGAGAAAATGGGATCATGCAAAATGTTCAAATAAAACCATAAAACACAGAAAAAGTCTGGGAAACAAAAATAGGAACAAAGAACAGGGACAACAAACAGAAAACGGTAAAGAAATGTGATAGATATTAATCCAGCTATATCGCTAATCACCTTGAAAGTCAGTGAAAAGACAGAGATTACCAGAGTGGATCAAAAAACAAGACTCAATTATATTTTATATACAGGAAACCCATTTTAAATATGAGTACATGTATAGGTCAAAAGTAAATGAATGGAAATATGCTATGCTAACATTAATCAAAAGAAAGCAGGAGTAGCTATATTAATTTCAGACAGAGCAGACTTCAGAACAAGGAAAGTCATCAGGGATAGAAGAGTATTGCATAATGATAAAGGGGTCTCTTCTACAAGAAGTCATAACAATCCTTAACATGTATGTGCCTAATAATGGAACATTAAAACACATGAGACAAAAATAGATAGAACTACAAGAATAAAACAGATAAATATACTATTATAGTTGGAAATTTTAGCTATATCAGAGATGGAGATATCCATCAGGCAAAAAACCAGTAAGGACATAGTTGAATTAAAAAATACAATCAATCTACTGGATATAGTTGACATTTATAGACTACTTCACCCAACAAGAGCAGAATACATATTCCTCTCAAGCATGCATGGAACATTCATCAAGATAGAGGACATTCTGGACCATAAAACACACCTTAACAACTTTAAAAGAATAGAAATCATACAAGGTCTGCTTACAAACCAAAACAAAATTAAACTAGAAATCAATGACAGAAAAATAGTTAGAACATCCAAATATTTGGAAATTAAACAACACGAAAGACTGAAAAAATCAATAAGCCTATAGGTAGGCTAACTAAGAAAAGAGAGAAGGCACAAATTAGTAATTTCAGATATGAATGTGGGGACATCACTATAAATCCCATGGACATTAAAGGATAATTAAGGAATATTATAAAAACTCAATGCCCATAAGTTTAATAATCTAAATGAGATGGACCAATTCCTTGAAAAATACAATCTGCCAAAACTTACAGAAGAAATAGATAATGTGAATAGGCCTATATCTGTTACATACATTGAATCAATAATTAATAACCTTCTCAAACAGAAAACACCAGGCCCAGATGGATTCACTGGTGAATTCTACCAAAGATTTAAGGTAGAAATTATACTTGTTCTCTACAATCACTTGCAGAAAATAGAATCAGATGAACTACTTCCTAACTCATTCTATGAAGCCAGCATTGACCTAATACCAAACTAGAGAAAGACATTGCTAGAAAAGAAAACTACAGACCAATATCTCTCAGGAACACAGATTCAAAAATCCTCAACAAAATAATGAATCAATTCAATATTGTTCAATTAAGTATTATTCAAATTCAATTAAATTGAGTCCAACAGTGTACAAAAAGAATTATACACCACAACCAAGAGGAATTTATCCCAGGTATGCTAGGCTAGTTCAAAATTCAGAAATCCATTAATGTAATTGATCACGTCAACAGGGTAAAGAAGAAAAAAAATCACATGATGAGATCACTAGATGCAGAAAACACAGTTGACAAAATCCAACACTTATTCATGATAAAAATTCTCAGAACACAGGAATAGGGGGACCTTCCTTAACTTGATACATAATATGTACAACAAACCTTCAGCAAACATCATGCTTAATAGTAAGAAACTCAAAGCTTTCCCACTAAGCTAGGTAATAAGGCAAAGGATGTCCCCTCTCATCATTGCTTTTTAACATCATACTGGAAGTCCTAAATAATGCAAGCAAGACAGGAAAAGGAAACAAAAGGTGTACAGATTGGGAAGGAAAAAATAAAACTGTCTTTGTTCATAGGTGATATGATCATCTATGCAGAACACTGGAAAGAATTGGGAATGAAAAATCCCTGCAACTAATAAGTGATTATAGCAAGATTTCAGGTTACAAGGTTAGTTAGCAAAGCCAATCACTTTCCTATAAACTAGCAAAGAACAAGTGTAATCTGAAATTCAAAAGCACAATACATTAGCACCCAGGAAATTAAATACTTAGGTATAAATACTTAGGACTGACACTACCTGACTTCAAGATTTACTATAAAGTTACAGTCATAAAGACAGTGGGGAAATGGTGAAAGACTAGATAAACAGATCAGTGGAAGAGATAAGAGAATCCAGAAATAAACCTACATAATATAGTCAACTTATCTTTGACAAATGAGCAAAGACAATACAATGGAGTTTTTCAACAAATGGTGCTGGAACAACAGGACATGTACATTTTAAAAAAAGGAAACCAAACACCAAACTTAGCACCCTTAAAAAATTAATTTAAAACGGATCACAGATCTAAATGTAAAATGCAAAATCATAAAAATCTTGGAAGATAGCATCCAAAATCTAGATGATCTTGGGTTTGGCAATGACTTTTTAAATACAACACCAAAGGCACAATCCATAAAGAAGCACTTGATAAATGGGACTACATTAAAATCTGCTCTAAAAAAAAAAAACAACAAAACTGTCAAGAGAATGAAAAGAAAACCCACTGGCTGGGAGAATATATTTGCAAAAGATAATACCTGATAAAGAACTGTTATCCAAAATACACAGAAACTCTTAAAACTCAACAATGAAAATCAACCCAATTAAAAAGTGGCCAAAGACATTAACAGACACCTCATCAAAGATACACAGGTGACCAACAAGTACATGAAAATATGCCCCACATTATATGTCATCAGGGTAATGCAAATTAAAGCAATGAAATACCAGTACACATCTATTAGAATGGGCAAAATATAGAACTTTGACAACATCAAATTCAGGCAAGGAATGTGAAACAACAGGAAATCTCATTCATTCATTTTACCGTTCAATGCAAATGGTACGGCCACTTTGGGAGAAAGTTTGATTATTTCTTACAAAAGTAAACATACTCTTACATAGGACCCAGCAATCGCACTCCTTGGTATTTACTCAAAGGAGCTAAAAACTTTTGTCTACACACAGATGTTTATAGCAGCATTATTCATAACTTCCAGAACTTGGAAGCAACCAAGATGTCCTTCAGCAGACAAATGGATAAACTGTGGTACATACAGACAATGAAATATTATTTAACACTAAAAAGAAATGAGCCATCAAGCCATAAAAAGTCATGGAGGAAACTTAAATGCATATTACTAAGTGCAAGCCCTTGATCTGAAAAGGCTACATATTGTTTGATTCCAACTATATGACATTCTGAAAGGCAACTCTGGTCACCACTATACCACCAAGGCACATATATATAATATTCTGGAAAAGACAAAACTATAAAGACAGTAAAAATATCAGTTGTTCCAGGGATTAGGGGGCAGGAGGACAGGGATAAAACAGCGGAGCACTGAGAATTTTTAAAGCAGTTGAAACTACTCTGTATGATACTGTAATGATAGACACATCATTATATATTTGTCCAAATCCACAGAATGTGTAACATCAACAGTAACCCTAATGTAAACTGTGGAGTTTGATGTGTCAATGTAGGTTCATCAATTCTAAAAAATGTGCCTCTCTGGTGGGGGATGTTAATAATGGGAGAGGCTATGCGTATGTGGGGTCAAGGAGTATAAGGGAAATCTCTGTACCTTCCACTCAATTTTGCTCTAAACCTAAAACGGCTCAAAATAAAAATAAAACATTCAATTTTTAAAATATAAATAAAGACTAAACAGCAAAAAAAAAAAAAGTATAGGAAATCCTTTCTTAGTTATCTATCACTGTATAACAAATAGTCCCAAAACTAATGGTCTAAAACAAAAATAAACATTTATTATCTCACATTTTTGTGGGTCAGGAAGGAGCAGCTTGGTTGAGTCGCTCTGGTTCAGGTTGCAGTTGGAATGGTGGCTGGGGCTGCAGTCATCTGAAGGCTTGACTGGGGCTAAAGGATTCCCTTTCAATGTATCACTCACAAGGCATTGGCAGGAGGCTTCAGTTTCTTGCTATGAGGACCTTGAATGCATTCATGACACTGCAACTGGCTTCTACTAGAGTGAGTGATCTGAGAGAGAACAAGGCAGAAACCACAATGACTTTTATGACTTAGAATCAGAGGTTATACATATTGCAATTTATTAGAAGCAAGTCACTGAGTCCAGCCCTCATTCAAGGGAAGGGGAAAGAAGCTCCACTTCCTGAAGGAAGGAGTGTCAGAGAATTTGTAGACATATTTTAAGCTACCATACAGCCCATATTCACAAAAAGAAAAAATGCACACACATACAAAAACACATATAATATATTGAAAAAAGTCTTAAAGATAATTAAAGGTACAAATACAATCATTTAAAATTCTTTCTCCTTTTTATTTTATTTTTTACTTTTTAAAAACAAACTTTTTTTGTAATTAAAAAAGGAAAAGTTTACAAGTTTTACAAATTTACAGTCCTAAATATTTGTGGTCATTATAGTGAAACATTATACTTAATCAGTAAGTCAACATGGACAGAATCGATATCTTTATTTATCCTCCTTATCCATGAATTTGATATTTTTTCCACTTATTTAATTTCTCTTGATTATTGTAATTTTCTCTAAAAAGAGACTGTGCACATCTTTGGTTGAATTTCTTGCTGAGTATTTGCTATTCTCTGACACTATTAAAAATTAGTTTCTTTTTATTATAATATCTAGTTGTTTGTTGTTGTTTTTGAAAAATTAATATATTTGCAGGTAACTCTTTTATCTAGTCAACTCCCTAAAGTCTCTGTCACTTCTAATATTTTCCCTTCTAATATTTTATTTTGATTTTTTTATATAAACAATCTTATTATCGAAAATGATGGTTTTATTTCTACCTTTCCAATCCTCATATCTCTAATTTCTTTTTCTTTTCTTATTGCTTAAGGCCACAGACTCCAACATCATCTTTAAAAAAGTCATGATCATGGGTATTTTTGTTTCATTTCTTAATTAAATGAAAATACTTCCAAAATTTCCCCATTGATGAAAATATCTGCTATAATTTATTAGTTTAAGGAAGTTGTCTTCTATTTCTAATTTACAAAGAGGAATTTTTCAGTTGTGAATTCAACATTATCAAACTTTTTTCTGTATCTAGTAAAATAATTACATGGTTTTGGTTTTCTCTTATAATCTGTTAATGTGGGAAATTACGTTTATAGATTTTTTAAGTTAAGCCACCCTTTCATACTTGAGGTATACCCAACTTTGTCATGATATTGTTAACTTTTCGTACACTGTTGGAGTCAATTTGCTAATATTTTATTTGGAATTTTTGAATCTGTATTTTTTAGTAAAATAATGCTGGGATTTTCTCTCTTATTGCATTTATATTAGGATTAAGATTACTAATTGTGAGTATATCAAAAGTATATATTTTGCATAATTAAAAAAATGCCACAAATAGTTTTAAAAGAAAGAAGCTGGGAGAAAATATGTGCAAAATATGTAACTGACATAAATTGGCACCCCAAATACATAAGTAACTTTCACACATCGATAAGAAAAAGACTAACAACCAAAATCAAAAGGGCAAAGGATATAAAATGAAATTCACAAAGAGGACAACCTAAATATTTAATTACATTCATCAAATATTATAAAAAGATTCTCAACCACACTATAGACTGGGACAATACAAATTTATACAATAAGTATATACCATTTAAGAACCCATCAGAACAACAAAACTTAAAAAAAAAAAACAAAAAAAAACAAGGAAGTCCTGGTGTTGTAGACAATGCAAAAAAACCAGGAATTCCATCTCTGCTGGTGGGAGTGTTATTGATACTACCATTTTGTAGAGCAATTTGGGAATATTTTGTGAAGTTTAAATATGCATGATTTATTTCCTAACAATTTTACTGCTAGAGAATCTGTCATTTAATATGCTCCGGGAGGGGGCGCCTGGGTGGCTCAGTTGGTTAAGCGACTGCCTTCAGCTCAGGTCATGATCCTGGAGTCCCGGGATCGAGTCCCGCATCGGGCTCCCTGCTCAGCAGGGAGTCTGCTTCTCCCTCTGACCCTCCTCCCTCTCATGCTCTCTGTCTCTCATTGTCTCTCTCACAAATAAATAAAATCTTAAAAAAAAAAAATGCTCCGGGAGGGTGTAAAATTAGAACCTTAACAACCTTCGGTAGGAGGATAGCTAACTGAACTGTGAGAGATAAAATGAATAAACTCTACCTACTTATGTCTATATAATATATCTTGAAAACTGTATATTAGGTAAACAAACACTAATGCTAGTGGGAAAAATAACATGTACAATATGGAACCATCTTTTGTATATCTTGAAAACATACAAATCAATGTCATATATTATTTACGGCTACAAATGAATGAGTTAAAATATAAAGCATGGATAGAAAAGATATACACCAACTTCATGAATTAGATGACTTCAGGGTGAAGAGAAAGGAATGGGGATGGACAAAGGGGTTTCCACTGCAATATTAAATGTTTATTTTTGCGGTAGAAGAAAATGTGACAAAATGTTAACATTTGTTGGGGCATCTGGGTGGCTCAGTCAGTTGAGCCTCTGATCTTGATTTCGGATCAGGTCATGATCTCGGGGGTCCTGGGATCCAACCCCGGGAAGGGTTCTCTGCTCAACACAGAGTCTGCTGGAGATTCTGTCCCTCTCCCTCCCCTTGCTCAAGCTCTCTCTCGCTCTCTCTCTCAAATAAATAAATAAATAAAATCACTTGTTAACATCTATGGGGGCACCTGGGTGACTCAGACGGTTAGGCATCTGCCTGGGGCTCAGGTCATGATCCCAGGGTTCCGATGGAGGCTGGAGGAGGCTCCCTGCTCGGCGGGAAGTCTGCTTCTCCCTCTCCCTCCGCCCCTCCCCCACCCCGCTCGTGTTCTCTCTCTCTCTGAAATAAATAAAATCTTTTTTAAAAATGTTAACATTTGTTAATTGGATATGGAGCTTATTTTATACTTCTCTTTAGCTTTTTTCATATTTTTAAATGTTTCATAATTTAAAAGAACTTCTTTAGTAAGTATTTGATAAGTACGGTATTATATCACCACTCTTACTGTCCTTGAAACGTTTCTCTCTGTATTCTCTTTGTGACTGAATATTCCCTGGGCCAGTTTCTTCATCTGTAATATAAGAAGGGTGTATAGGTGATCATTGAAGATTCTTTCTACCTCAGCTATTCTAAGTGCCTTCCCTTTCCCATCCCCCTTACACTTCCCTCCTCCCTGCTTTAAGATTCACTACCTGAATCTATCATCAATCCATCTCCTTTTCCACTCTTTAAGTCTGCTTTTCTGAAAAGTCATTAGGAAACATTTAACCAAAGCATGCTCAGTATTCAACTTTGCTAAAACTCTAGAAAAGTTTTTTGTTTGGTTGGTTGTTTTCCATTTAAAATAAAAGTCCTGTGTTTTCATCTAGCATCTCTGACACAGAAGTTGTGTAGGGAATGGGAGGAGGTGGTAATAGAAACCATGCTCCATGGGAGCAGCGGTGCTACTGCGTTCTTAACTGGGCATCAGACTCCAGCCAAAGAGCCGCTAACCTTGGAATGGACTAAAATGAAGGCATCGTAACTCTTTTTACAATCTGGGCAGGGCAGTGTAGGGCGGAACACACTGTGCTTTCCAACTGGAGGTGGGGTGGAAAAGGAGGGCACAGGGAGAGAGGGCTGCCCAGACCAGAAACATCCTGTAGCATCCTGCGGTAGAAGGAGGGTGCATTGGCTGGGCAAGCTCCCGTAGGGACGAGCTCCGGGCTGCGGCAGCCAAGTGAGCTCTGGGCTGCAACCCGCGCCCCGGGGCGGGGGCGGGGGCGGGGGGAGCTGAGGAGGTGGGGCCAGGGGCAACCGCGGGACCGCTCGCTCCCCTCTCCGCCGCGCGCAGACTCCAGTTGTAGGAGGTCGCCGAGGAGGCTGGGCGGGCTTGAGTGGGCTATCGAGGCGCTCGAGCCTTCCACGTACTGAGGACTCTATAGCAGCCATGGGCTACCAGGCACAGGGGCCCGTCATCCCGCCGCAGGTAAAGCTGGGACGTAGGGCAGCTGCTGCAGCCAGGTCCTTTCCAGTTTCATTCACCCTGCAATAGAGAGCAGCTAACTTCACCTGGGGTCTTGGTTTAGCACCGCGGAAAGCTCTCCAGGAGAAAAAGTTTTGCCTCCATCTGACTTTTTTTTTTTCTTGGCAGGCACTTTTCAATATAACCCCTTTAATCTCACAAAATCGCATCATTGGCTCCCTAACAGATCCTGTATTCTGGGATTCCATGCAGCAGTCCTTGAACTTGGCGCAGCTGTAATTGGGACATTTTAGAATGGAGTTTGTTTACAATGCTCTGTTGAATTACCTGTTATTGTTACTCTTTATTGTATTATACTAATCATTATTTTCTTACAGTTACTGACATTACTAATTATTACTACTAATGTCGTGTTGGTGTCCTGCGTTGCGTATTTGTCTAACACTTTTCTAATTTTTTGACCTAGTGAATACTTAATTGCCATTTTATATATTAAAACAGAGCAATCTAGATGACAGAGAAACCCTCGTTTCTGAACATAAGCACAAAGGGAAAACTTATCGTCAGTTCACAGCTGTTTTTAATGTTGTCAACTCCATTATAGGATCTGGTATAATAGGTAAGTGTTGTTTTGTTTTGTTTTAAATTTTAAGTGAAAAGACAAAATTTAAAACTCTTACCATGACAAAATTTAAAACTCTTACCATGTTGCTTGTATTGATTATTTTTAAGGAAAAAATCTTAAATAATAGAATTGGTAAATTTTTCCATAAAAACCATCCTTTTTTCCCAATGTAACTATGTGCATCACAACAGTGTCTTTTATGCGGAAGCTGGGGTCGTGATTCAGACTTTTTCTTCATTTGAGAGCATCCCCCATATGTGGTAGTCTAAGGTGGATCTGCATATGGGATATGCTCAATTTATTTTTATAGGCTATATGGTCAATTGATAATGCTGCCTAATATACTTTTTCCCCCTTCCTGAAGGGTCCACCATTATTTAAACCACCTTTCTATGACCTTCTAGAGTGTAAATCTCCAGATAGTTGGTATTATGGAAGGTACATGAGTTTAATGTGAAAACAACAATCTTGTGAAAAATTAAATCATACAGTATTTCCTTACCTATCTATCCAGTTTTAATTTTAAAGTACAAACTTCTTATGATATATTAATTTTAAGTATCATTCAATCAATAAGTAGATATTGGTTGAATGAAAATGCATAGATTTTTTTTAACAAAGGAGCCAAATAATCAGAATTGAAAGAAATGAGCAGCTCGTATTTTCCCAGTTTGAACCAAGGGGAAAATTCTGACAAAATTAAGTGTGTTGCATTATAGTAATTAAGGCAATTGCTTTTTCAGTGCTGATTATTCTTTTTTTTTAAAGATTTTATTTATTTATTTGAGAGAGAGAGAGCACAAGCAGGGGGAGCAGCAGAGGGAGTGGGAGAAGAAGGCTCCCTGCTGAGCAGGGAACCTGATGCAGGGCTCCATGCCAGGCCCCCTGGATCATGACCTGAGCCACCCAGGCACCCCTAATTATTCTTTTTTTTTATTTGAAAACATCCAATTTAAGAAAAAGCAAGGACAAAACAAAATCCTGCAATATGCATTGAGAATACTTTTTCCTGTAAAGTTTTGACATTTTAGTTACAGTCATCATTGAACATTTATCTGAATTGAGTTACTTTTTTCACCTTTTACAAGCTGATGTGTTTCTTTATGTTACTTGTTTCCATATATAGACAGTTCTTTTTAATGGCACATAAAATAGAGGTACGTGAGGCAAAATAATGAAGTAGGGGCAAAGATTTGTTTGAAACTCTACCTCCATGAACTAGGGAGATGTGGACAGCTCTACTTGGCAGAATTCCAGAGTTAATTCCTGAAGTGAACACTTGAAGCTGATTCATGTCAGCAACATTAAAAAATAGCTCTTAATTATGTTCAGCAGATATTTTAAGGGAAAATTTTCCAGAGAATAAAAATTCTGGGTGGATATATTTTAAATATGTTTTATCTTAAGTATTTTATTGCCCATAATCTAAAATTGACCATTTCCAAAAAAATTCATAAGAAATACTTTTATATACTGCTTCAGCTTTATAAAAAACACTTTTGGTATGCCTGGGTGGCTCAGTCGGTTAAGCATCTGCTTTTGGCTGAGATCATGGTCCCAGGGTCCTCGGATCGAGCCCAAGGTAGGGCACCCTGCTCAGTGTGGAGTCTGCTTCTCCCTCTTCCTCTGATCCTCCCCCTGCTCCTGTTCTTGCTCTCTCTCTCTCAAATGAATAAATAATTTTTAAAAAAATACATAGATAGTAAAAAAAATTAAAAATTAATAAATAATAAAAAATATTTTGCCTTCTCATTTTTCTCTCCTGGTTACCCACTGGATTCTGGAGTCAGTCTTTTTTCATATCCCATAATCCTTTTGTGCTCTTATTACCCTCTCTGCTTTCCCAGCTAGTGTGTAAGGAAAGCTTTAGGTCATTATTTTCCATATATTCAAGGTCATATTCCCTCCTCACCCTGAAGTGAATTGGCATCTGTTTTTCATTTGCTGCTTTCTTATTCTTATTCCATCATCTCATAAACTTGCTCTCTTGATGTGTCCTTAGCTTGCATTCTATTCTGAAATGGTATTAATATGCTAACATTTGAGTAGTAATATGCACTGTTTACAACCATGTCCTATAAATATGTCAACTTACTTAGCCTGTTATATATAGGAATTGGGGGAAACTTCTATATCTCTATATGTTTTATTAATATGATGGGTGGACATTTTATATTTTTCCAGGATTGCCTTATTCAATGAAGCAAGCTGGCTTTCCTCTGGGAATATTGCTTTTATTTGGGGTTTCATATGTTACAGGTAAAATACTATGTAATTGTTTTTTCCTACAACTTAAATTGTGCTATGATGATTACACACACACACACACACACAATAATTGAATTTCCTAATTAAGAAGTGCAACAAATAATCCTAAAGAATTCAGACATTTATGTCTGAGAAGATTTACTTTTCCTGCTAATCCCCTGAACAGATTAGAAAAGCATTATATATTACCAAGTCTAAATCCTTTTCATGTGCCTTTTTCACTTTATGCAGAGAGTGGTAGATGGGAGTCATTTTAAAGGCTGATTAATGCTGAGACTGCTTTGAAAGGGTAGACATCAGGCCTTCCCTTCCCACAAAAAACCTTAAGCAGGTGTACACAAATAAACAACTTTTTCTAGCTATTTTTGTGCAAGTAGAACTAAAAGGCCTGCTGCTCAACCAGCAGGGTTCACCACCCACTCCCCACCTCTCCTGTGCCTGCCCAGGCTCCCTGCCTGCCACTATCTTTAAGTGCAGCAATAAGGTGCTTCTGTATCGCTTCCCTCTGCTTCCCCCTTTTCATGTAACAAGTTCATTCACACTCACGTTTTGCCCTTCTTCCATCTGAGTACAGGCTTTACAACTTATAATCACCTCCTCTTCCTGCTGTTCTCATCCCTGCCCTGTCACCCCACCAGCTCACCTCATGACAATCACAGGGTCCTTCCTCTACCTTGGGATCAATGTGAAAAAGGCAGTGATCACAGATACCCCCTGCAGTGGTTGTTTTTATGGTGGCCACTATATGTGGTCACTTAGATGCTCTTTTACCAGGGAATGTAAAACACCTCAGCCTTGTTTTTTCAGTATTGACCTGGCTCTCAATGGCACCACCTTTCTGTGAGCTTATGATCCCCAGCCACCGTTTCCCCACAGCCTTCAGCCAAAGACTGACTGATAGGAACACAAAAGCTGTGCGTGCTTGAGCACACACACACCTGCGCCCCTGGCCCGGAGAGACCAATGTTTGTTGCAGGTGCAGCTAGTCTCCACCGGAGACCACCTCCATGCTGAACTGTTTCCCCTGCCCTATCCTGTCACTCCCATTCTCTTGAAGAGCGCTCCCTCAAAGACCCTTGTCCAAAAATCTCTGACCCATCTCTGCTTCCGGAGACCCTGACCGAGATGCCATGCCCTCAAAAAATCTCAGGTTTTGAAGACCAGCCTGTAACTGCCATTTTTTTCCCTCAGGCTGAGGAAGAGAGAGTAAAGCATGCCATAGATACCAAAGTCAGAGCTGCAGAAGCACTGGACTGCCTTCCTCCCTCCTTTCGTGTCACCGCCTGTTCTCCCCAAACCTAAGCTGCTTTGAGCTTCTACAGCTCTTACTTTGTAGCTTAAGACCCATAACATAGTAAGGTGGGACCCATAACATTATGCTTATTCAGAGTTGGTGGTGTTTAAAAACTGCACTCCATTCATGAGAACATTCATCACACTAAAATATCCCATTCAAGGATTACCCTTGTAGTTTTTAATTTCCTGTTTCCCAGTCAGCACTAACAATTAATTTCCGCCCAGGCATAATAACCATGGCTTATTTAAGTACATTGTAAACATGTATGCACACTCTAAGCTAGTAGATAGAAAAAAATTAAAAAATACATATCACCTAAGAATTAAATACTTGAGGTGAATTAAGTCACATTATACACAAATAAATCATAATGTGAATAACTTTCTCAACTAATGTTATGCATAAACTTACAGTAAAGAGTGTAAGCAGCCCTTTGCAAAGTCGTATACTACAAATTTATCAATCAGTAGAAATTAGTTACTCTTGTTCAGTTGCAAGATCAAAATCTTTAATTTTGATGAATAAAGGATGACCACACAGAAGCAAAAAAATTTATAGACTATGACTCATTTTATTTCTTAATTAGGCTTTTAAGAGGAAAATCTACAAGTAGGGTATAATACTGAGTTTTTCTTTAAATTGACACTGTAATTACACAATGGTTTTTCTCTATATGCTTTTGTGTTTTTAAGGCCTCTAATGAGATATGTCCAGCTCAGCAGGTAGTTTTTCTAAGTTCTGTTTCCATGTTTGTGAAATGTTGGGGAATAAGAAAAAATTACTGATTTAAAAGAAAATTTGTATGTTGAATGACATGGACTCATTCAGGGATTTATCTAAAATTTTCATCCAATATATTTAAAGTGAGATCAAAATGTTGTATTGATTGATATTGCAGATTCCTAAAGCTCTTAAGATATATATTTATAGCTTGTACTTTACAAGTAGAGAAACACATTTATTACTGACTAAATTCTTAGCAAATTGTTAACTTTAAGCAACATATTTTGAACTTGTATAAAAGTCAGCATTCTCATCCCAAACATACAGTTCTTCACCAAAACTTCACAACATCTGTGAAACTGGTTACCTCCTCTCTGTGACTGAGGTCCTCATTCTTTCTCTTTGTTGGTCAGTAAGTTGCTGTTGAGTTTTCCTGCCATTAGCATCTGACCATTTCCTGATGAGTCTTCCATATCGCTGCAGAATTACCTTCATAAAACCTCAGTCTGGTCTCTCTCATGTCCCCAATCAAGGCATTCCATTACTGTATAATGACAATAGAAAAAGAAACCATTGCATTCAAATTCCTTCATAGCTCAGCCACAATCTGAACTTTTAGTATCATCTCCAATTAATCTAACCTCTCTTTCACATAGTGACCAACATTACCATGTGTAGAAGTTATGTTTTAGCCATTCTGGACTATTCCAATCCCTGGAGAATGTGCTTTCTTGCTGCCTTCCCATGGGTAGTCTCCCTACTTGACATTCTTTTTCTTCTCTGCCTGGTGAAATCCTGTATGCAAGACCTACTCCTCTGTGAAGTTTTCCCGGTTTAAACAAAGGCAATATAATTAATTGCTGTGTTCTTTGTGCTTGCAGAGTATTTTAAAATATGCTCATTAGGCCATTTATCACATTAAATTTTAATCAGATATGTAGACATCTAGCAATCCTGCTATATTGACTTATTCAACAAATATTTAGTGACTCTGCTGCCATTATATCAGTGAAGAACATTATTCCTGCCTGTTGAAGCTCACAATGTAGTGTCAGGCAGACAAAAACAGAATTATAATACTTTATGAAAAATACCATATTGAAAATATGGGCAAGATGATAGGGATATTGGCATTTAACCCAGTCTCAAAGGAGTAGGCATATTTTGGGGACAAAAAGACACCTCTCCTGACTGTTTATGAGTGAGCAAAGAAAATGGAAGGGTACTCTAAGCAGATGGAAATGTGGAGATGCAAAAGGGAACTTTGTGCGTGATTCCATCTGCTTAAGCATAGGGTTGATGTTTGTAAGTGGAAAGGGAGGAAGTTAGACGTTTGCAGAGGCATTTATGAAGACTCCCATGTAATAATAATCATTACCACTTCCTGAGGACTGGCTTGATGCTGAGCGTAATGCAGCCACTGTACTTAATCCTTCTGACTCTATGAAAGAGGTATTCGTGTTCCATTTTATGGAGAAAGAAATTGAGACTTTAAGAGGTTAAAATGACTTGCCCAAGGTTAGCAGTTACTGACAACAGAGTTGAAACTTTGATTAAGTGCATGGATTTTGGAGCCAGACTACCAGGACCTGAGTCCCGACTCTTCCTTTCTAGCTCTGGGAAGTTCAGCGATTTGCTTAACCTTCCGAGCCTCGCTTTTCTCATCTATTAAAGAGGGAGTGGAGGGTAATAATTGCACCTACTTAGAGTCGTTGAGAAGCTTAAACAAGTCAATATGCATAAAGCCCTTAGGAAAAAGCTTGGCATACAAAAAGTGTTGTGAAAGTATTTGCTAGTATTTTTGCGGTTCTTCTCATTGTTATTATTATCAGACTCCAGATAGAGTACTTTTTCCACCACCAGATGCAGCCTATAAGAAACAGCCAAAAGCAGCACAAGCTCTCATTCATTGTGCCAGGCATTGTGGCAGACATGTAAACATTAATCCTCACAGACTCATCAAGGTTTGGTGTATTGTCTTACATTACAGATGAGACTCAAGAAAGTCAAGTCTTCCACCCAGGATCACATAATAAATCATTTTTCCTGCCTCATGAAAAGGATTTTTTTTTTTTATCCAAAAGTATTAGAGGATTCCCCTGGAGGATTTTAAGCAGAAGACAAGATCAGATTTATGCTGTGGTCAGATCCATCTGGTACAGGAGGGATGTCAAGAAAATCTTGGTAGGGTGGGAATGTTAAAAGTGTTTTGAAGAGAGGCCAGATTCGTAGATGTGAGAACTATTAGGAGTTTTCGCAGTAATCCAGGTGAGAAATGATAAAACACTAAAATAAAGTAGATTAGAGATTAGAAGTGAGAGGACACCATCGAATAATTTATGATGCAATAGTTAATGGATTTGGTGACCAAAAGAATGTAGCAGGTGATGGGTAATGAGAAGGCTAGGGTGATGCTCAAATTTCTGCTGGTACTGTTCACAGTTTGGAGAAATATAGATGGAGATGCGGGTTCTAGAACAAATATATAAATCAGAATTTGGACATTTAAAATCAAGATGTCTATGAGATCTCCAAGATAAAATGTTTATTAGAGAGTTAGATATAGAAATTTGGAGTTTTGGAGGAGTCGAGGTTGAAGATACAATTTTAAAAGGGTTAATAACATCTGTGTGAAAATTAAAGCTGTAGGGATGAATAAGCCCACAGTAGGACATTTTGAAGAGTGAGAAAAAAGTCCAAGAATCCAGGTTTTAAAGAAATTGGTGAAAAACTGTATATGATTGGTCAAAAAGGTAGGAGGAAATCCAAAAGAAAGTGATGTCACAAAGGCCAAGGGAAGGTGATTGAGGAAGAGAATAGTGAGCAGAAAAAAAAAAAAACTGCTATGAAATAGCAAATTAGATTAAGATTTAGGAGGTGTCATTTGGATTTATCAAATTGGAGCTCACTGGTGAATTTGTTGAAAGAAGATTCAATGATGTGGGAGGGAATCAAGGTGGAAAGCACATTGCAATGATTTCTATTTTCTTCTTTGTATTTTAATGCATTTCCAAATTATTTAAAGGATAAAAAAAAATCAACTGTGATGGAAGCATGAACGAGAGAAGAGAAAAAACAAGAATCACATAGCTGTGTACCCAGTTCAACTTAAGTGTCATTCATTAAGTGCTCAAAAAACATTGAGTTAAATGAAAAAAAAAGGAGAGATTAACTTTTAATTACATAATTTCTGTATATTTGCATCTTCAATTCCAACTCTAACATGAGAGCTTAAGTCTTTAAAATGTAAATTTAAAAAAATTCTTGGAGTTCTCTCTTAACCATAACTATAAAATAAAGTTACTAATTGTACTTTGTTATAAAACCAATGATCTAATTCTCCTCAATCTATTTTTTTTTCTGAATGCTTACATCATTTTTCATTCTCGGTTTTCACACACTGAACATCTATGAAATATTTGATTACCTACATTCTGCTGCTTGGACCATTGAGCCACATTCTGTTAATAGTCGTTACACTAGTTAGGTTAGGAAAGTAAAACCTGATGCTTTGACTCTAGTCTGCATACCCTCTTCTGCCCAGTTCATTGCACAGATATGTTAAGTGTATTTGCATCTCAATTGAAAAATACATAACTGGAAACAGTACTGTTTCATGAAAGGTAATGTTTTATGAACAGAAAGTAAGCCTTGCCAAGCCAATTGACTATAGCATTAAATTAAACTCGTTAAAGTTTCTCTTTCTTTAAGTCAAAATACAAAAAGTTTTTGTATTAAATGTAATCTGACATTTGTTTAATGGCTGTTTTTGCCACAGACTTTTCCCTTGTTTTATTGATAAAAGGAGGGGCCCTTTCTGGAACAGACACATACCAGTCTTTGGTCAATAAAACCTTCGGCTTTCCAGGATATCTCCTCCTCTCTGTTCTTCAGTTTTTTTATCCTTTTATAGGTAAGTTGAATGTGAAAATGAAAAATGTAACTCTTTCATAAACATACAACTATTTCTGAAGAAGGTAGTTTTAATAGGAGATTAAAAGTGAATAGGTAAAATAATAGATTTCTTCCGCGGCTGAAATATGTTTTTTTGAAAACCTAAGGGTTTGTGGAAGCCATGTACAAGGCCAACATGTAATTTAAAATCTGTACCATAATGGTGAACATGTCCCCTAGCACTTCTTAGGTAAATTGTTAACATTCACCAATGACCAAATTGACATCATTTTTTAAATCAATAATACAGAATCTATTGGTCAAACCATTAGCTCCTTTTTCAAATAAGGGGATATTTGGGAGCCTTCACAATTTTCTATTATTGTTCCTCACTTTGAACAATGCATGTATGCCTGAAAACATATGTGGAAATTGAACTTTTGTAGCAAAACAAATCACATTTTAAATGACTAAGGAAACTCACAATTATTTAAAGTTGTTCTGGAAAGGATCAATTCGTGAAGTGAAAATGTTCTTGTAATATAAATTGATATTCTCCCATATATTTGTTGTCTAGTTATTTTTTGAAATTATACATATTTGTAGTCACAATATATATTTGAAAGAATTAGGATTATGCCAATATTTTGGAATAACTGATTACTTTCAAAATAGTTAATGGGTATTAAGGAGGGCACTTGTGATGGGCACCAGGTATTGTATGTAAGTGATGAATCACTAAATTCTACACCTGAAACTAATATTACACTGTATGTTAACTAACTGGAATTTAAATAAAAACTTGGGGGAAAAATAAAGTGTATTTAGCAAAAAAAATAAATAAAAATATTCAAGATGAAATATGTGATGGCTTCTTGGTAACTGTATTGGTTTAATTATGTTTTTAGCTATGATAAGTTACAACATAATAACTGGAGATACTTTGAGCAAAGTTTTCCAAAGAATCCCAGGAGGTGAGTCAATGTATATAATTTGTGTATTATTCATAGTGAATGCTGTTCATAATAATTTACAAGCAAAATATTTGCAAGTGGAAGAGTTGGATGACTTCAAGTATCTGGCAATATCCATGATCCATTCTGATCCTAAAGCATTAATCTACTTTTATATATAGTTTAGTTCTTACTTAGCTGTTTAAAGGATATCATTACTATTCATATGCTTAAAATACTTTGTACTTTAAATATCTAATGCTACATATCACCAACTCTATGTAGTTAACATTTTTCATGTCTTCTTTTTACAATGCCATTTCTAAAATAAGCAAGCTGACTTTTTTCTCCATTATTTGTATTAAGATATAATTTAATATAGTAAAATTAGCCCTTTTTAATGTTTAGTTCCGTAACATAGAGTTTGACAAATGCATATATAGTCATATATCCACAACTACAATCAAAATACAGAACAATTCCATCACCCACCCTCCAAAATTTTCCTTATTTCCCTGTGTAGTCAAACCCTCCCTAATCTACAGCTCCTGGCAACCACTGATCTGATTTCTCTCCCTAGTTTTGCTTTTCCCAGAATGACAAATAAATGGCATCATATAGCATGGAGCCTTTCAAGTCTGGCATCCTTCCTTTAGTATAGTGCATTTGAGATTCATCCAAGTTTTTGGTTGTATCAGTAGTTTGCT